GCCGCACACTACTTCCACCCTCCACGTCGGTAATAGCATTCAGCAACCAAGACCCTACTGAAGACTAGATACAGAATGTACTAGAACTACATGTAGTTGATTAGGCCCGCAGGAGGACCGATGCTTTCCAAAATAAGAAACAAAGAGGAGATTGAGTAAACACCGAGTCGTGTTAGGTCAATCGACCCTGTGTGTAGTGCGGTGGAGTTAGGGCGTCGTTAGACACTCCTCGGGGGTGCGATTCCAAGGATTCCGCTGTCGTTCCACCTGTCCTCGGAGCAGAATTTCGGAAAAGAAATGTGAAAACACTCCGAGGACAAATCCTCGGGCTCCGAGGATTTCCCAGCCAAATCGTCCTCGGCTCCAATGGAGCTCGCGAGGTCCTTTGGAGCCCGAGGATCTGCGATTACCGGGGTGTCGGCGGCGAGTCCAGAAGGGAAATTGGAGGTCGAAGGTGGTCCGGTGGTGGTCCACCGGCCGGAAGACGGACATCGTGGGCCGTCCTCGTCGAAAACGTCCAGCAACGGCCTCCTCGTTTTACCGTTGGCAGTGATTCACGGGACAGCCCTGTTGGTTTTTCGGGCGGCCCCACGGTGGGGCCGTGGCGAGCATCAGACGTTTTCGGTCGGCCTGGAGGGGTCGTGGCGTTCCCGCGGGCTTCCCAGCGGTCGAAATTACGGATTTTGTAAGCGTCCTCCCCCAGTCGCTGCTTGCAACAATTTGCTTCGTTGGCGTCTTCCCTCTCAAAGTGTGTCTCTTCTCGCCTCGAATGCGACACCCCAAGTGCGTGTTCTGTCTCGGCTGCCCTGTCGTTCATGGCTGACCTGCACCGCAGGCTGCCTTTGCTGCTGCTTGCCGTTGTCGTCTTTCATATCTGCTTCCTCGGTCGCGTTCCTAGAAGGAAACAGATGCGGCGAACGCCGAAGAAGGCGAGGAAGATGGAGAAGCTTCAGACGATGACCACGCTGTCGGTAGGGGCTGGGGGGTCCTCACGTCAGCGTTGCACCAGTGCGGAAGGCGGCAGGTGGCCGTACGACCCGACGCTGTACAGCCACCTACCGTCCCACGAAATTCCATTGCCTTCGAGTGACGATGACGCCAACGACCCCCGATCCTCAACGGTTCCTCTGGGCAGCGGTTCGACGCAGGATTGGATGGGGAGCCAGATGTACAGACAGGCATCGATGCCGACGTACACTGATCTGCTGGAGGGGTGGACCCCGGTTGGTTATGACGCAGGACTCGTCGATCTCAGCTTCGGTTTGAGGTCTGGGAGTGCCGAGGATGTGACGCACACCGTTCTCGTGAACCCAGCTTCTGGCACCAACCACACATCGCCTTCAGTGAGGCCTTGCGGATAACCGTGGCGGATGTTATGGTCACTTGGGCGACAAACGTGGATTCGTTTTGCCAAGGCAGAGGGCACTGAGCACAGCAGGTGTGGCCGCGTCGAGGACGAAGACAGCTGGATTGGCGGGCTGCCGATCGACGACGCCAGGTGGTTCAATCGACGGACGAGGGGACGACGACGATTGCTCCTCTACAGAGGTCATGGGTCGACATGTTTGGGATGATCATTGGCGACAATCGCGTCAAGCGAGCACGTCGGCATAACGAGAGGGGTGGCGAAGATGAATGTGGGGGCCGAAGATATATGCGTCGATTGCGATGGTGGAGGGGGCGAAGAATGCGCGGCAGACGACGACGATAATGACAAGGACGAAGACGACGACGGCGAGATGGACATTCGTCCAGTAGGGAGGAGCCGGGGAGGGTCAAGGGCCACAAACAAGTTTACAAAACCGGGCGCGGGGCGTAAAGGCAAGAACGGTGTGGAAGATACGTCGGCAGCCGAGGGAGCAAAAAGCAAGGATTTTTGGACCGTGGAGTATATGATTGCTCTGGTCCGAGCTAAAAGAGACCAGGATTTGCATCTGGCCGGCCTGGGGCACAACTACGGACGGATGAAGACGAAGACATGGAAGTGGGACGACGTCGAGAAGAGGCTCGTGCAGATGGGGGTAACTGGTAGGAAGGCCGTCGACTGCAGGAAAAAATGGGACAACCTGTACCAGCAGTTCAAATCCGTGCACAAGTTCATGGGAGAATCCAAGAAGCCTAATTTCTTCACACTAACGTCGGGGGAGAGGAAGGAGCAGGGGTTCGACTTTCGGATGGATGAGCGTGTGTATTCGGAGATGAAGGCGATGTCCAGGGGCGATCACACTATACACCCCACGAATCTCGCGGACACGGGTGCGGCTGGAGGTGTTCAAATGGCTGCCCCACGTGGCGGTCGGAATGAATCCGACGCTAGTGAGGGATGCGGGGATGGACAGGACGACGATCAGGGATCGACGAGGGATTCGGCGTTCAACGTCGGTGGTGGTGGCGGGGCCGGCAAATGGAAGAATGTCAGACAACAAACCTTCGACGCGATGGCGGACGTCATGAAGGAGCACGAGAATCTGATGGCGTCGACGGTGGACAGCGCGAGCAAGAGGCAGTGCTCAATTCTGACGAGGCAAAGCGACATTCTCGAGCGAGAGATAGAAGTGCAGAAGGAGCACTACGAGAAGGCCGACCAGACAAACTTCATGATGTGCAACGCCCTTATGGAGATTGCTAAAGCAATCCGCGCGCGATCTTAACGTCGCTTGGCCACACATGTCCGACGTCTGTGCGAATGCAACGTGTGCACTTCCGGAGCATCGCCGTTGCCGTCGTCCTGTGTGTTGCAGTGCGGTGATGGCCAGATTCTGTAGAGACAACGGGTCGTTGTTGCCTGCATAATTTTTTAAGCGTGGATTTGTTTAATGACTGTCAAGCGTATTGATTGCTTTCATGCCCCACGGCGCGTCCTTCGGTTGTACAGTGGGTCCTCCGGTTTTGGATTTTGTTTAATGAGTGGTGTTGTGAGGCGTTGGCGCCACGCATGGATGGCAAACTTGCAGGGTCGTTTTTGGGGGTGTCGGAGAAGGAATAGGTGGCAGGGTGTGTTTTTCGGGCGGGAGGGGAATTGACGGATAGGGGTGCCCGACGTTTTTGGGGGTGGCGGAAAAGGGATAGGTGGCGTGCTCTTTCGAACTACGGCAGGGTCCTCCTGTGCGCCCACATGCGTTGTTGACTAGACCGGTGGATGACCTGCAGCCGGGGGGGAAAATGGTCCGTACACGATCGACGAAGGGATGGGCTGTTGTGGATGGCGAGGCGTGTCCATGGTGTGCTGCGAGAACGCGCACGGTAGAAAAGGAGAGTCCGGGCGCCATTCCGTACCGCAGTGTTTCAATTGCCACGGCTTCGCGGGCAGTGCCCCTTCATGCGCATCATCCACGTGCTCCGTCGTCCACGTGCCCGTCGTCGACCTCCACGCGCTCTTCGTCCACGTTCACCAAGCGCCGCAGCGGTCTACATTGGCCACGTGCACCTTGCTTTTGAGTTGCGGACGACATGGCACCGCGGGGCGCGTCAGGGAAGGACAAGAGAGACAACGTAGTAGGTGAGGGGGGGGGAAACCAAAAAGGTGGCCACGTGCCAAAGTCCAAAAGGCAGCGCGTTGATGAGGTGATATCCGAAAACACTGACGGCTTTCAAGCAGAGGAAGTGGCGATGGTGGATCCGCAAGGGACAGCAGGGGCGAAGCGATTGGGTTTTGGGCGGGATGGGGTGTCGAGGGAACAACTGGCCGCTCTCAAACAAAGCGTCGTTGGTGGTGCTGCCGGGGCGTTGCCAAGGACCCCGAAGGCGGCAGGGATTGTCATCACCGGGGCGCGCGTGCTAAGGCAACTTTCGGCAGTGGTCGGCCAGGGGCAGCCATGTCAGGGACTCCCCCCGCAACAGGCGGGGGCTTCAGGGGCAGGGAAAACACCGTCCACGCAAAAGGCTGAGGCGACGGAGGGCGGCAGTCGGATGGTGGTGACGGATCACACCACTGGAAGCGGACTTACCGAAGGTGCGGAAAAGGGGAGGGTCGATGACGTCCACCGCGACGATGGGAGAAGAGATGGGAGGCGGAAGGGCGATGATGAGGACAACCGTCCACTTGTTGCCAGGTTGAAGGGAGCGACAAAGGAGGATGATCTCGAAGACAGGTCGAAGTTGTGGGTTGATTGCGATGCTTTTTGGGGTCAGGGCCCGGAGAAACCCTTGAGGGAGGCGGTAGGCGATTGCGCGGACTACTTTGTCGCCATCGCTAACGGAGACGCAGGAGCTGAAACGCCGTCGATGCTCATAATGCCGCCCAATAATGTGCTGCGCTTCAAGATCGAGGACCCTGCGCAGCGTGAACCTGCTCTGCGCAGAACGCGCAACGTGGAGAAACTGGTGTTGCACACCATCCACGGCTGGATCTTCAAATCATCGTCGAGGTCGACTGGCTTCGCTCGTGCAGAGTCCTACATCACCGTCGACTTTGCAACAGATGTCGCACGAGCTGTTTGGCAGGGATTAAAATGGTCGAAAGTGGTTTCCCCTGCCCTCATCTACCACATGTTGGCGATGAAGATGGACGTGCCTCTGTGGTTCGCGGGGGTGAAGATTGTGGACAGGCCCAAAGACGACGACATAGCGGCGCGGCAGGAGGCGACAGTTCTTCGCCTGGGGGACTGCTAGACAAATGAACTTTGGTGCGGACAATGGGCGGACGGAGGCCATGTGAAACATAAGAGGTTGTCGCGGCTTGCGGATTGTTGTCGAGTGTTGTTGAGTGCATGCATGTGGATCATGGGCATGGGTGGTGACGACGACCAGTCGCACTACGAGGCATCATTCTACGCGTTCATGGTCGCCAAACCCACACTGATAGCGGCGGGGTCCTACATCTTCAACTGGCGGCGACACATCGTCGACACCGCCAACCTCGTCTTGGATCGTCTAGGGAAGCCCTACCTCATGCTCGGAGATTACTCGCATTGCATCCCAGAATGGGTTGATTGCGGGTTGGTGTTCGGTCACAACGTGGCCCTCAAGAATGCAACGGAAACCGCAAAACACGGGTGGATCGGTAGCGGGCCTGTGGCGGATGAAGATGGAGATGACGACAGTTGACACGTCGGTTCATCCGGAAGGCAGCGGCGGAGTGCGGATCCTCCATGGATTGGCGCACTGATCACCAAACGAAGAACTGTGTGCCGTGAACGACAGACGTGTGCGCAGGGGCGGGATGGCGGGGGTTGCTGGTGGAGCGTGGGGGAAGGTGAGCTGGCCGGTCCAGCGCAGCAATCGATCATGGCAGATCAGTGGAAGCCCATGTCACCGCCTCCTAGATGCAACGGGTGACAGTGCGAGGTTCAACGATGTGGCCACGTGGACAATCGACATCGTACTAGATGTATTGTGTTCGGTCTGTTTGAATTTTTGTTTTATTTCTGATTGCAGCACAGTTTCTAGATGTGCTCCAGAGCCCGGTTTGTGAGATCAGTCGATGACACGTCCGCAGTGTACGTAAACGGCAGGCAGAGTCCGTCGTCGGTGTGAGGCGCTTCGAGGGTGGATAGTTTAAAGAAAAGTGGATCGCCGCCTCAATATTGTAGTGTGAATGAATGAATTTCATTAAAGTTTGTTTTGTGTGTCAACGACGTGTATTTGCATGGCTGTGAAATCTTACGCACTACAACTTTTCTTATCTTCTATCCGGGTTTATCATGTACACATGTGTTGATAGGCATCGCAGTCTTGTTCACATCTTCTTATGTATGCGGCCCTTCTTCGATCTTTGAAATCGCGGCTTCGTGATCATCGCCGACACCTGAGAAAATAAAATGAAAAGGAAAACAGAAAGGAAGCTAGCCACAAACTTTTGTGCACATCTTGTTATGTATGCTGCCCTTCATTCCATCTGTGAGATCCCGACTTCGTGATGATCGCCAGCACGGACGAAAGCCAAAAAAAAAAAAATCAAAGGAGGGTCACCACTCAGTTGCTGAAAGAACCAAAATATCGCGAGTTTCACTTTATTTTTTTTTCACTGCATGTAATTCGTTACCGGAACACCGAAGCTTCACCGACAGACTTTACCAAATGCAGAGAAGTGCAGACGACGTTCATGACAGACGTTCCATGTTGTCGACAAAAACATGTGTCCTCAAAGGAAAGGAAGAAGTCGGACGCACGAATACATGCTTACACAAACAACACAAAAAGAACATATCGTTCAACTTCAATGAAAGCAGCGCTCTAAAGCACACGCGAAACAGCCCGCCGACGAACTGCCACCCCCCCCCCCCCCCCCCCCCCCCCCCCCCCCCCCCCCCCCCCCCCCCCCCCCCCCCCCCCCCCCCCCCCCCCCCCCCCTACCCTCCGCACTCCCCCCCCCCACCTCCCCCTGATTTCCCGTCCCGGATTCCACGGAAATGCGTGGGAGCACCGGTCCGTCGAAACTGCTCAAGCGAACACCTGGCGGCATTGCGTGGAACAACCGCAGGATTTGCATCATTGCTAGCATCTTCCCCTTGAAGCCTCGTCACTGCCAATGATTGATGAATTGGACAAGCAGACTACCGTCGACTACAACAACAAAGACCGAAAAACAAACCGTCCGCAACGACAATCCTTCCTAAGCAATTGCGCGCATAAGCGAAAGATACAAGCGCTTTGAATCGACGACGGCGGAACTTGACTTCAACGAAGTCTTCTACGCGAGAAAGAGGCAGGCGGTAGGCAGGATCAAATGTGTTTCATTTGCTCTGCCAGCGCATTGCGAAGCGCGTGTGCCGTGTCCGTCGAAGTCAACATCGTCACTGGCTGGGACGATGAATCCCCAGGTCCACTCGGCACCTCACCCCGTTCTCATCGACCTCCCACAACAAATTATCATCGAACTCGATGCCGACATCGAGGAGGATGTTGTGGAGAATGCAGACGACCGTGAACTGTTGTGGTAGAGTGTCGAGGTTCGTCTTGTGCGTCCGCAGGAAGAGCCTCCCCATCCCCTTCAACCTCCCGAACGCCCTCTCCACAGCCCCTCTTGCGACCTTCTGCTTCGTGTCGAACCTTTCCTCGTCTGGGTGCTGATTGATTCCTCCGTACGGCACCACCACCCATTCAGAAGGAGGATACCCGTTGTCGCCCAAGATGTATCCGTTCGTCCTCACCCTGACCGGTAGTGTGACAGGCGGCCCACGAAACAACACTCCCTCTTCCACGCGCCTCGACAGACTTGACAATTGGATCACCCTAATGTCGTGGCAGCTCCCCAGATATCCAATGAACATGTCAAGCACGCACATATCCAGGTCCACCACCACTTGCGCAATGACGGAGAAACGGTGCTTGCGGTCGAAATAGTTCTCGCCGGGTGTGTTCGTCGGTTTGTCCACATAGATGTGTGTGCAGTCAACTGTGCCATGGCAGTTGGGAAAACCCTTGTCCTGAAACGCCCGTAGCACGACGTGTTTCCTCACCCCCCTCGGCCACGATATCTTGTCCTCGTAGACCCTCAACGGAGCGGTTGTCACATCGTGCACAGCGAGAAGTCCGGAAGCCCTACCTATGCCGAAAGATGATGTGTTGTTGTCGTATGTCTCTCCTGTATCCCACCTATACAGCGCGTAGGCGACGATCTGCTCTGAACAGCAATTTCGTCAAAACGGACATTTTTTATTTTTTGAACGAAATTGAAAACTAAAAAATTGGCCCAATTTAGGTCGATATTTTCAGCTCCAGGGGGTAAGGCGTTCTGAAAACGCCCTACCCCCTGGATGCAAACTAAGTCCAGATACATCCAGGGGGGTACGGTGTTTTCAGAATGCCGTACCCCCTGGACTCCAGCTAAGTCCAAATACATCCAAGGGGTTCGGCGTTTTAAGGACGCCGGACCCTCAAGAGCTTGAAATTTCCACCTAAATCTCTCTAATTTATGAGGTTTCAATTTCGTTCAAAAAATAAAATATGTCCGTTTTGACGAAATTGCTGTTTCCGGTTGAAGTGGATCCCTGTAGAACGTGACGTGTCGTTGCAAATGAGGTGCACAAGCTTTAGTGATCTCCATGAAAACTTTCCTGGACATGCGGAGCTTTTCCCGGAAGTAGTCTTCAGTCGCGTCATCGCACACCCGCAAATCCTCCCAAGACCCGCCAATTCTCTGCCTCATTCACCAATGTGGCGTCGCCCGAGGAAGCACACCGCACCCGATTGCAGCGCACAGCTGAACCACGGCCTCCGAAGTGGTAATGCAGTCCGGGGCATCCAACACGCTCTGCAACAGAAGCCTCTGCCGCCGCCTCGAAAGCGTTGCCTTCATGCGCCCGGTCGCCCTCTCTACTTGGAATCGACAGACAACAGCAACCGCAGCCGCTGCAACAACTGTCTTCTTCGTCGTCGACAGCACAGCACGACCATTCCCATTGCAGCCCTCCATTGCACCCTTCCGACAGGAAAAACAACGCCCACCGCCACCCACATGCGTGCACCTCTGCCACCGCGATTGAAGACGCCTGCAATCAGGTAAGGAAGACAGTCGTGCTCAACGATGTTCCACCCCGATTGGAGCGTCCGCCCACTGCCGCTAAAGTACGGAACCGCCGCGCGCCTCCACGTGGCGAGCACAACTGCCGATACCCCTCTTCGTTTTGCTGCGTCAATCACACTTGAGACAGTGGAGGTGCGGCGCCACTGAAGTACGGAACGCGATGGCAACTGAAACCTTGCGCGGCGTGAACTGCCCCCTCGCCGACCCGCCTGTGCGCCGCCACACCGTCGCTCCGCAAGACGCAAATTCGAATTTCGAATTTCGAACGGGGCCGTTCCCGCGTTGGCGATTTTCTTTTCCAGGACCCGTCACGTATTGCTGCCGTCCGCCTGCTGGACCACCACGCCTCCTACACGGACATCCCGAATCGGAGGTCAGACAATCCCCTCGCGGCCGTGTATAATCTCATGAAACTGGCCGCGGGAGGGCCCCAAGGATTCGTCCTCGGGGCGATTCTCCGAGGACAGGTGAAACGACACCTCAAAAAATCAGAAAAAACCCCAAGGATTCATCCTCGAACTCCGAGGACGTCCTGAGGAGTGTCTAACGACGCCGTTAGGATGGGTAGTTCCAACTTAGAATAGTTGCAGAGTGTGGTAACGAGGTTAGTAATAGAATACGAGTAAAGGGTGAGGGAGCTAGAATTAGGGGTTGAGTGAGGTAAAGACGAGCCTTTTCGTAGAACGGTAGGATTGGGCAGGTCTAGAATCTTCCACTCTCCTTTGGCCTCCTCCTACTCTTCCACCAGGGAGTTTAGTAGGAGGGTTTAGTGGGGGGGGAATAGTGGGAGGTAGGGGTAGCAGTTTAGTTAATGGGGCCGGATTTTTTGAGGTAAGCAGACGGTGATTGGTTGGAGTGGTAAAATAATAGTATTATTAGTAGATGATTTGTAGTAGTGATCAGAATCAGTTGGGAACTTAGTGGGAACTGGGTAACCTGAGAAGCCAAACCGGCTAATGCTGCCGAGATAGCCCCGCGTTGAATTGTGAGGACCCCGGCCTTGTGACAATGTCTCTTTTGGAATATAATGCGAATGTGTTGTTTGAAAAAAAAAAAAAAAAAAAGAACTACATGTAGGGAAAAGATGGGTCGACCCAAGAAAGTGCCGGGATACAAACAGTACCTGCATCTTAATTTTGGCGAGGTACATGGTGCAGTCTTAAAGAAAAA